TGTAACTGGAACGGAAAGTGTAGATATACATTTAATTTGAAATTTTATTCTTGTTTCAATAGGCCATTCTCATTTTTATATTTAATTTTTCCACTGCATATTGGAGAGTGTTCTAAAAATGGCTTGGATTTATTACAAAAGAGCTAAGGATATGAATGTTGGCGAAGCAGATAGTTCTGGTGGTTAGGTTTGTTGATGTGTTTTCTTGGCTTTATACTTACTGTCTGTAGTGCTGGAGTTTGATGGTAAAAAGGGTATACTTGTCAGTATCTGTTTTTATAACTTTGAATTCAAGTTTTATATAATTTATTCCGTGTAAGTAAATTGTTCATTATTTTTCTATGAGTGTCTAATGAAGAACTATTTGGGTACTACTTCACTGAAACAGAACACTCATATTGGTTTTAACGACTACAAACAATTAAACCCCAACTGCGTGTATTACAGAATACTCCTATCGACTACAAAGAATTAAACTCTGCTGCGTGTATTACAGAACACTCATGTCGACTACAAACAATTAAATCCCATTGTATTACTTTACAGTTTACAAGTAATTGTCTCACTCAGACTTGTTTACATCAGATATTTCTATAATATGTTTATGTTATTCCAAGTTGTTTCTTAAACAAATTCCACTTTTACCCATACAAGTTTTGCATAATTTTGCAAAAGTTACAAAGATTTAATTGACATCTACAGCAGTAAGACTGATAGAACGTCTGGAAAATATGCTCCAAAGAGAGTTAAGTTCGCTAGATGAAATCTGCTAATCACAAAAATTCCAAACGTTTGAATGCTTAAAGGAAATTTTGGTGAAGCTGTATCTGCTGCTGACTGTTGACGATCACCAGTGAAGCTGTAGCTAATGCTTACTGTTGACGATCAGCAGTGAAGTTGTATCTGCTGCTGACTGTTGACGATCAGCAGTGAAGTTGTAGCTAATGCTTACTGTAGACGATCAGCAGTGAAGCTGTAGCTAATGCTTACTATTGACGATCAGCAGTGAAGCTGTATCTGCTGCTAACTATTGACGATCAGCAGTAGAGGCTGTATCTGCTGCTGACTGTTGACGATCAGCAGTGAAGCTGTACCTAATGCATACTGTTGACGATCAGCAGTGACGCTGCAGCTACTGATTACTGTTGAACATCAGCAGTGGACATCACAGCTGTCTAGCAAACTTAATTGTTTCGGAAATGTTTAAAATTTAGACATTCTACATCATATATCAAACCGCGTTTACCTCCAAAGTGCAGAAATGAGTCATTAGAAAGGTAATAGATCTCTCTGGCAGAAGACCTAACCTTTGGAATCTTATTACTGATCAGCTGTTGACGATGAATATGCGATACACAGTCCAGTGTATCGTTTAAGCAAGACAGTTGTCACAATATACGAGTATCTTGTTTCATTTTGTGACTGAAGAAATTACCATTATCAACCAAAACGATACAGCGCTTTAGTGAATCGTGTTCGTTATGGTGTCGGCGTTATCCAAATTCTTTATGATTATTGATATATTTCAATGATATTTTTTCAGTCAGATACTAGCAAGATATCATGTAAATACGTAAATATGGAAAATCTTATTATCAGCACAGTTGTTATTGTAACGACTATGAATTACAGTTTAGTTTCAGGTGGGGGAGAAATCGTTAGCGCTGTAAACCGTTCACAAATTTTATGTGGTATCTAACTGATATAGACAGGTATTATGCCGGCACGCCCAACATTCGATGACGTTTTTTTCCACCAGAGGCTCCCCTTAAACAATTACATTGCGGTGAAGAAAATAGCCGTATTGTGGAACATTTTATAGAATTTTTCACAGTATTCAAAGTTACGTATGTAAAGTACAACTTAATATAAATTTAAACGATTAGTTTTTGGAATATAACAAGTATAATGTGTATTTAATACTTTTCTTTGAAGATAACGTACGGAATTGCGTTATATATTATATTATCCTTATATAGATTCTCTAATAAAGATAAAACGGAAAGATAACACATCAGAATAAATTAAGGTACTCGTGTGTTTACCCGTTATATGTACATATACATCAGGATAATATAAAAGCTAACCTTGACTTTAATATCGAGTTTTGTGAATAATTACTTATGGAATGGTTAATTTATATCGTCTGTTGGATACTTTTATTCACCAGAAGAGTGTCAGATCGATTTCTATTTCAGTAATGAGGAGTAACTTCCAGGAAAATTCTGCTTCCGTTGCGTGCTTCTTTCCAATCGATTGATTCGCTATCCAATCAGATTGTCGGATTTAAACGTTTGGTAAACTGAATAGTATTACTGGTTGTTTGAAAACCCGCAGTGCAGCTTGTACAGCCAATTAGAAGCCGTAGTAGATATTAAGTTTAGTACTGTTGCCATAGAATTATTTCCCCCAAAACAGATATGTTTTCCGTAGTAAGTTTTACTTGATCTAAGAGAGCATATTTTTAATAAATAATGCTCTAGTAACAAAATAACTGCGTTACGTTTACTTGATTTATGAACACATAAAACCATATCGAATTGTTGGATAGTAAAAAACTCTGCTGACGAAAATCGTAGTTTTGTTAAGCCACGCGAGTTTCATTTGAATAATAATAATAGAAATACTCACATATCTGATCGAATACGGTAATACTTTTTTGCTTCGATAAGTTTTGATTAGCTAAGCTCTACAGAAACCCAGTGTTCAAAAAGCTAAATGGCGATTGACTAACTTGAGTTTGTGACAGTTTGGGTTTCAAGGTGTATTACTCACATATTTGATCGAATACGGTAATACTTTTTTGCTTCGATAAGTTTTGATTAGCTAAGCTCTACAGAGACCCAGTGTTCAAAAAGCTAAATGGCGATTGACTAACTTGAGTCTGTGATAGTTTGGGTTTCAAGGTGTATTTATTACTTAATTCAATCATTCAAAATACTGTAAGTACTGGAACTTCTTAAACAATCACACTAATTTAGCAAATCTGGTCATTTCATTGGGGTATGATCGTCAACTGTATTACTAAACTAACAAATAACACGTGTCTGCTGTCTGATGAAACTGAAACTTACATTCCATTAACAACACATGGGCAGTCTAATGGCCTAGTGGTTAAAAAGCTTCAAAGCATATAATACTTAAATTCGAGGTTCGATACCCGTGGCGGGCGCAGTGCCGTTGATTGTATGGCTTTACGCTAAAATAAACAAGTTCGTTCATTCCCTTGTGTGTACATTTTCGAAACTTTGCCAGCACGGAGTATTAATAATGAAAGCATCCTAGTGTTTAGGGGATTTGACGTCACTTCCTCATGTTAATTAACCATTTGACTTTATGCGACGTCACTTCCTGATGTCAATTACACGTCTGAGTTTATGTGATAAAAACCCACCCAGACATTCGACAGAGTGTTTCGTCACTTAATTAGTAGCACGCATGAATGGATTTAAGAGGTTCCCACCATTCTTATTTACTATCTAGCGTAAACATACCTTTCAGACTGTAAGCGAAGAATGCATATGGATGATGTGAATTTTCACCATCTTAAGTGTATCTCTTGTATTTGTAATTTCACACACGCCTCAAGAGGGGCGTCATTTCACACATCCTGTTAAATCAATCGAGAATGATAATCTGTTGGAAAAGATGAGTGTGAGAAAATTATCGATCGTTAAAGCAATGTTTTATTTTATTTTTTCAAATACGAAATATAACTGCGAATATTGTTTGGGAGTGAGGGTAGTTTCTGTGCGCGAACTTGTTACAAGTTTTTTATGATATGTTATAGAACTCTGTTGTAGGGTCTAGTTTATTGCCTCTTTCTTAACATGTTCGAAATACATTTACATTAAACTTACTAACCCATATCAGCTCTTTTTGCGTGAGTATTGACCCAATAAAAGTTTTTTATTCATTATTCTTACCGTTAAACTGTATCAAGTGGCACTGATGGTTCACCATAGCGTTTCATATTTACTTTTGTACTGAAATGTGAAACTTCACTTGGAATTCAATGAAAAGGTGTGTAACTAAACCTCATAGAAAAACTAAACGAACAAGATAAACTTAAGTATACACTAATGATTTGTAATGGTTGTCGTTATCACAACCTAATAAATTATAATGTATTACACTGTTAATCTTACCACACAGGTAGAACCAGAACCAGAAACAAGCTAGATAGTTACACACACATGATTTAGTTTTCCCCTCGGGATCCGTTTTTTGTTCTTTTTATAAACTAATATAATAAATTATGGACCTGATTCTAAACAAATAAAATATGAACCATTTAACACGGTCAAACCCATGAAACGCCGATATTAAGACAATATAGGGTATATGAAGTTGTGTCGGTAAACTCTTTCTTAATTATGTTTTCTATCTTTGTTGGAAAATGCATTGTGAACATTGTGTTGTTATTTTAAGCCTATACATAGAGATCAAGATTAACCTTACGAACAACTTCTACATTAAGTTATTTCTGTATTGAAAATTTCAAACATTTGCGTTTTGAATTTATTCATCATTTTGTGAAATGTTATAAGTATGACATTTAAGATTTATTTTCGCTTTACATGTCCAACTTGAGTTTGCTTACAAATTTTATAACATTATCCAAGTATTTTATCTTGTGTAAAATATACTAATGGCGTGAAAAAAGATTTTTTTTATAGTTTTAATGTAGGTTTTTGCATTTATGTTCCCAAATGGCTCAGCGGTAAGCTTCGGGCGTTATAATGCTAAAATTTAGGATTTGATCCCCGAAGCGGACACAGTGCAGATAGCCCATTGTGTGGCTTTGCATAATAACAAACAAACAAAAACACTTGAGTAGAAGCTATCGCATAATTGTTATAAATGAATAAAAACCCTATAACTCGAACGCTTTCAAAAGGTGAACCATTCTTCTTCTTCAGGGGCAAACTATATATATATATTAAGTATTGAATATATAAGGATAAGTATTTGACATAAAAATATATCCTACTTTACAGGAATACGACGATGTGGCGCTTTCCAAATTTAGCTAGTTTCTCAGTCACTGGAATTTGAGTTTAACAACAAAAACTATTACTTCAGAAAAGATGTAATCATTTGCGCTAGTGTTTTAAAAGTAGCTTCAAGTGTTAATGTATATATATAAAGTCATTTTTACTCAGGACGGTGTTGTAATTTTAAGCATAACAGGTGCCCAGCACGTAATTTTAACGTAGCGTGTTATGAGATGCAAGTAACTTCAACCATCAATAATATTCAGTAGCAACCATGACTGTGAATACGGCGTTAATAAAACAGCACTGGGGCGTTTATAACTGGTCTGTTGACTCGTTGCAAAGTCTGCTCGAAACATTTTACTTCATATTTCTTATGCCACCGTGCTTTAAGAGATGATAACGCCAGGTGCATGGCGGGACATAATAGATGACTCGGCAAGAAAACATCTCTGACGAGTTGAAGATAGTATAACATGCACGAGGAAAGTAGTTTTGAAGTTGCAAAAATTATGAAGTCTTAAAGAAGCGAAGAGGATCAGGTCTCAGCGGCTGGTGTACTTTTATAGCGATGAGGATCAGGTCTCTGATGTGATTTTAAAACATTGAGGATTAGATTGCAGGGACTGGTGTACTTTTGGAGTAATGAGAGTCAGATCTCAGCAGCTGATATACTTTTAGAGCAACGAGGATCAGGTTTCAGCTGCTGGTGTTCTAGAGCAGCGAGGATCAGGTTTCAGCTGCTGGTGTCCTTTTAGAGCAATGACGATCAGGTTTCAACTGCTGGTGTGATTTTTCAAGCAAAAAGGATCAGGTTTCAGCTGCTGGTGTTCTAGAGCAGCGAGGATCAGGTTTCAGCTGCTGGTGTTCTAGAGCAGTGAGGATCAGGTTTCAGCTGCTGGTGTCCTTTTAGAGCAATGACGATCAGGTTTCAACTGCTGGTGTGATTTTTCAAGCAAAAAGGATCAGGTCTCAGCGGATGGTGTACTTTGAGTGTTGTGAAGAATCTCAAAAACATTGAAATTGTTTTAAGGAAACAAAGTAAAGACTTTATATTTAGAAAGATATTTTAATGGGAAATTTAATAAGTTGTAGTATGTCTTTATTTCCAATATGTATAAGAAACGTATCATATGATGCAACCTAGTCAATATTAACTTTTAACTTCAATAAATAGATTATATTTTCCCAATTTAAACAATGTTACAAATATATCTCTGACATTAAAACAGGAATTGCTGAAATGCTCTTTGATGAAATAAACATATTTAAACTTTTTACAGTCAGTCTTTTATTTTTTAATTGTAATGTAACATGTGACACTCCAACCGAAACTATATGTTTTAAACTCGGCAAACTGTGGGCATTAGTTCAATTTGAATCAAACCCGATGACAAACGATTGAATGAATTATACAATAACGAAAACCGCAACCTCACTTTACGTTATAATTTATAATGATTTCTGAGTGGTACTAGTAGAACATAGCAAAACTGAACCCTCTTTTTGTGAATGGTACTAGCAAGATTACACCCTCATTTTCTGAATGGTACTAGTAGAACGTAGCAAGATTATACCTTCTTGTACGTTCCTCATGATTGCTCGATTCTCTTGAAATGACTTATGATTGAAATATTTTGTTCCAGCCCTCTTTATTTTCTTATTTCTCAATGAATAATTTGTGTCAAAGTATGTTCAGAATTATGTTTTTCTATGTTTAAGCACAACATGCTGATTCCTTCATGAATGAATAAGATTGCTTTGTCAGAACACATCTTCAATGAAATGTTTTTTTTTGTTGTTGTTGTTTCTACGTAAACGTTATTTATTATAGTTTTTTCATTCCTCAAAATTCATCCTGTTTTACACAAATAATAACACTGTCTTGCAAGTGCTTTTACTTCATTTAAACAATGATTCATCGTAAAAGAGATTATTTGTAGCACACCAGGTTGACGGAACAATTCGTTTCTTTAACAAAAACTTGTTTTTTCAATCGATAAAAACACGTCAAAAACCAAGTCATTTATGTTTGAATCATGACAGATGTTATGACGACAACAACAAAAAAAGTGATTAAAGTTGAAATATTTTCTCAGAATTATATTTAAGCAGTGAACAAAATAAGATTAAGGTTTCGGAGTTAAATTTTATTTGTTGCTTGAAAGCGTGCTCTTAATCATTTGGAGAAATTAAACTTATAAATAGCAACTTACTGTTCACTCTAAAAAAACACACAATATTCTTAACCATTCGTCTAAACAACGCGAACGTTTGACAGGTGAGAGTTAAGTCAAAAAACACTATACTTTTCACGATCATCATAATTTTATCTCTACGTAAGTTCCGTACGTATATGTATATATATATAGTTAGATTATATAACACGAAACTATCGAAAACGTCACTATCTATAGTTGTGTTTCTTTGTTTCAGATATTTGCGCAGAACAACAGAAGAATTGTGTGCGTTAGATTAGTCAACAGAATCCACCGCCAACTCCAGACGTGTGGGATTTGACCGTCACCCTTATAACACACCCACGACCGTAAAGTGCGGAGTATGATTTTGAGGCATCGAAGCGAATCATGGACCCTCAGATTCACAGTCCGGCACGTTAACCACTAAGCTGTTATCGGTCCACTTCAAATTAGTTATAACGAGTCAAGAGATTATTTGACTTGCTTGTACACATCAGTTAAAAAAAACATATTTTTTTAACTATTTATGCACCAAACCGCTTGTAGTTCATGATTGTTACTAGGTTTCCTAATCAAATGAGTCTCATAGAAGTACCATCAATATCGCAATTAATCCCAGTAATTACTGATCGGGTCTCACATATATGTTTATATGAGATTTCACTCAATTTCATTTTGATTAGTTATTTACACTGGGTGTTGCTGTAACAGGCAAAAACAAGATTACGCAATATAATGTCACGTGTACATCCCATTGATAGTGAAAAGTGTAAAGACAGACCGGTAATTTGAGGGTTAAAATAGAATTGATGTATACACACTGTATACACGCATCATGTTATACACTTGTTTAAGAATACAAAAGTTAAGTACATTATATTAAAACGCTTTTGGAGCCTCACCACATTACTACAGTCCATGTCGCCACGTCTGGTCATGCTCTATCTAGCGGCCGTGCATTTTGACAATAGCCCTGCGGTTTAGTTTCCATTGCAAAGGACTCTGTCGCAAGGTTGTCATGTCAAAAGCACATCATTACTTCCTGTTATTTTTCATAAGCCATCTAGTGTACGAGAAAAACGCCTTTCTAGCTGGCGTTCCTATAGTCGGAAGGCACAGAAATCCATATGCACTGCATCTGGCGACTTCACGTATCACTTCTATTGTATTTAAGAAATACATCGTATTAAAAATTACACATTGGTAACTCACTAATGTGTCACAATGTCTGTAATTTGAAAAAAACTCACACCACACGTAATAGATTCGTAGCTCAAGGATCTCCGAAATGCACAAATACCTTATAGGAGATAAAGAGAGACGGGGGGGGGGGATAACTCTGTCAAAGTGGAATGATTTCTATGACCTCTTAGAATATTGCTTTAAATTCTACCGTACTTGAGCAGTGTTCTTCTGACCTTTAGGAGTATTGTCCTGAAACCTAATCAGACTAGAATATTATTATTTTATTTGTTTGTTTATTTTGAATTTCGTGCAAAGCTACACGAGGGCTATCTGCGCTAGTCGTCCCTAATTTAGCAATGTAAGACTAGTGGGAAGGCAGTTAGTCGTCACCACCCGCCGCCAACTCTTGGGCTACTCTTTTACCAACGAACTATTATTATTATATAAATGCTTCACAAACATGTAAAGAAATATTGCTTTATTTTTCACGCTACCGTTATAGAAAGTGAACGCATCTTTGTAAGCTTTAGTCTTATCTGTATAACGTTTTCAGATCTTTCTCAAACTGCCTGTAGAAATAGAATTTATTCGAAATCGTGGTTGAACATTCTTAATTTATTTATCAATTTCTCCACTAATTTCGAATTAAGGAACATGATGTTAAAAGATGTAATTTTTCTCTACCTATCACCCTTTGTGTTTGACCGGGTAACCCTTGGCTACGACAAGCTAAAAAAAAAAAAGGTAAATTATTGTAAAATGGCGGATTACAGATGAATTCGTGAAGTTGATAATCTCTGGTACACAAGGACACGGAAGCCTCGGGATAAAAATGTTTTTGTTTATTTCCTATACAGAACGTGTTTGCTCTTTACATGACATTTAATATGTAATCAGAAAATTGTTTGGTTTGATTTAAATTTCGCGCAAAGCTACACGAAGTCTGTAGCTCTAGCCGTCCCTAATTTAGCAGTGTAAGACTATAGGGAAGGCAGCTAGTCATCACCACCCACCGCCACTCTTGGGCTACTCTTTTATCAACGAATAGTGGGATTGACCGTCACATTATAATGCCCACACGGCTGAAAGGGCGAGCATTTTTAGAGGGACCTGGATTTGCCCTAACCACCTGGCCATGTGAAACCCAGAAAAATGTTCAGAACAGAACAAAAATTTCAGCTACAGCGAAAATACCAGAGACACGAGCTGGTTGAAGGGTTGTTGCTTATGTTTTGTCTCTCCTTAAGGAACTGAATGAAGGGTTGTTGTTTATGTTTTGTCTCTCTCCTTAAGGAACTGAATGTAGGGTTGTTGTTTATGTTTTGTCTCTCTCCTTAAGGAACTGAATGAAGGGTTGCTGCTTATGTTTTGTCTCTCTCCTTAAGGAACTGAATGAAGGGTTGCTGCTTATGTTTTGTCTCTCTCCTTAAGGAACTGAATGAAAAGTTGCCTGCTTATGTTTTGTCTCTCTCCTTAAGGAACTGAATGAAGGGTTGCCTGCTTATGTTTTGTCTCTCTACTTAAGGAACTGAATGAAGGGTTGCCTGC